AACGGAGAGGGGAATTTGCTCCGGATCCGGCCTCTCCGTTGGGATTGATGCCGGGATCCCTGCCCGCCAGCCCCTCGGGCTCTTCAACTCGCGTTTGAGCGTCGCTCCGAAGTCGGAGGCAACTTTGGAGCTCGCGGCGCTGCCCTCCCTCCTCGGGGAAACTCGGGGCCTCTGGGTGGACTTGAAGCAATTTCCCTGCTTAAAAAAGGAAGGAAACGGCGAATCCCGAAGGCGGCACCTCCCGTCTTTTGTGCGGGATAATCCAACGTTAAGGTGATGGTGGGGCAGGATGCGGCGGGGACAGCTTTGGAGTGCACCCACCTTCCCATTTCTAGGCTCTCCGAGAATCCCAGATTGGAGGAATCCCTGCGGATTTGGGGTCAAAAACCCGCTCGGAAGCCGCGTGCCGGCAGGTGGAGTTGGGCACTGCTTTATTTTGTTAATTTCTCTCTTTTTCTCTCCTCCTGCAGCAGCCGTCACCGCCAGGCCTTTGGCCTTGGGATGTCACCGAGGAGGCACCGAGGATGTCACCGTCGCTGCCGCTTGTCTCGCCGCCCGGCGCTGCCATCGGGGCCCCCCGCGCGTGAAACCTGAGGGCTCTCACCAGCCTTTTCCCCCCTTTTTTTGGCTTTTCCACCCGCTCGGCTCCATCGGGAAGCTCCTCTCCGGCAGGTCAGTGCCGCGCGCTCCCGGCAACGGCTCCGGAAACGCCGCCGGAGCAGCCAACGCTCCGGAGAGGCAGGACAGGGAGAGAAACCTCTGATGGTGGCAAAAAGCAGCTCTCGATCCTCCTGCTTAAAAGGAGGAGGCAAATTTGCTTCCTTCTGGGGAGGAAGAGCTGCCGTAGGAGCATTAATTCCCTGGATCTGCAAGGGAAGGGCTCTTTGGATGCACAAGAGGGGGTTTTAACGGTCCCCGCCGTTCCTTCTCCGATCTACCTTATTCCAAAGCTCCCTTGAATCCCTCCTGGCTGCCAGATGGCAGCTCTGGAACAGGACCGCAGCCGTTGGGATCTGCCTCCTTCCCCCCGGGAATTTCAAGCCTGGTGCTTTTCCTTCTGCTCCTTTCTGCTGGTGGCAGCTGCGATCGCTGCTGGAGGAGAGAGCTGCTTTTCTCACTCAGGGCTTTATTTATTTATTATTATTTTAATAAGGCGGGACAAACGTCTCAAAATCTTGTGGGAAGGAGTCATCCTGGCCGGATTTGCCCCCGGAGCAGGAGGATGGATGCCGGGGGAGAAGGGCCCCTTGGCGCTTGCAGTGCCGGGTCCCTTGGTCCCCTTGGGGTGACCTGAGTTAAAAATAAAGCCAGACTAAGCCTCGCAGCTAAGCTGTCTGCTGGGAAAACCACCGTGGTGCTCCCAGCCCTGCTTAGGGCCAGGAATAGCCGAATTGGAGCCTGGAGAGGGTTCCGCACGTGGAAAAAAGCCCGACTGGGATAGCCCCGAGGCTGCTTCCGAAGCCCGGCCTCGCTGGGAGCTGTCGCATCCCGCCGGGATCGGCGCCGCGAGCCGGGACGGCATCTCCCGGCCCCGGGGCCCTGGCTGCAGAGGG